GAAGCATCTCTGGCCATGCCAGGGTCCATCCTGACTTATGTGTCATTTGGGTGGATGCTCACACCGATATCAACACTCCACTGACGACGGGCACTGGGAATTTGCATGGACAGCCTGTGTCCTTTCTCCTGAAGGAACTAAAAGGAAAGGTAAGAGGCTCCTTAGCTGATATGCAGTTCTGGAGGTATTCTTGCTATACCCTCAAGCTTGTCTTCTCTGTAGTAAATAAGCAAAAGGTGAGTTGTAAAGGCAGTAAGGCTTCTACTGGACAGTTTGCAAACTAATTCCACCTGGAGTTGTCCCTCTGTATCCATGAGCGATTGGTTCCATGACCTCACAGATACCAAAACTATGGGTGCTCAAGTCTCTCAAACAGAACGACACATATTGCATATAACCTATGTGCATCCTCCTACATACTTTAGGTTAATACCAAATGCAGTATAAATACTACAATACTTCAAGTGTATTGTCTAGCGGGGAAAGCTTGTATAGGTTCAATGCAGACTAAACTAGTACAGGCTTAACTATAACCTCAGTCTATGACTGCTAGAAATAGGGATGCAGAGGGTTGACTGCTTTCTCTTTGGATTTTCTTTTTTTGGGTGGGGAGTATTCCAAGATGGGTTTCTCTGTGTAACAATCATGGCTGTCCTGGAACTCACTTTGTAGATGAGGCTGGCCTTGAACTCAGAGATTTACTTTCCTCTGCCTCTCCAGTACTGGGATTAAAGGAGTGTGCCACCACACCTGGTCTTTGGGATTCTCAAACTACCCTTTCAAGTAGATGGACAGACTAACCCTTTCTAAACAGATTCGGAAGGTAAACAACTTGTCCAGAAACAGGCCGAGTTATTACGAGGCAAGGGCAAGCGGGTCTCCTGTCTGCTACATCTTCTAACTACATGTCACAGGCTTTTCCTTTTTTACCAAGTACGCTCTTCACATCAGACCCTAGTCAAAAGAGCCCCATGCAGATTGCACGCTCTCTCTCTCTGTGTACACACACACACACACACACACACACACACACACATATATATATGTTGCAAGAGGCTTGCTAGTTGTTTGAGGCTGGCCTAGAACTTTCCATCTGTCTTTTGAGTGTGCCACCCTGCCTGGTTTTCAAAGGCTTCAGATCTCTACTCTGAGAAGCACTTATCTGAACCACATGAGGAAGAACCCATCCCTATTCCAGAGAAACTTCTTTAGAATACTGGATTAAGCCCTTTTGAGAAAGGGAAGTAAAGATGGAAGCTATTAAATAGTGGAAGCACACATTTCTTGGTATCAGAGTCCTGGGAAAGAATCTGAGCATCACAGAAATGGGGCATGGACCATGAAACTACTGACAAGAAACAAGGGTAGGTTGGGCCCCAGGGCAAAGTTGTTGAGGTCAAAGCAATCAAGAGTACACAAAGGGAGGCAAGTATCCCTTCCTAATCTCACATTATTTAAAAACCACTTCTAAACTTACACTCTAAATGTCAGGTATGTGCAATCAAGGGTGCTTGCTCAACATTAAATGCAGATCTGTTCAAGAGAAACATGCTGGTCTAAATGGAAATGCTGTTGTTTCTAGTTTCCCGATATACCAGGATTCTCCTGGGTGACTCCCTGCATATCTGCCAAGGATATTGTGTACATCGGCTTGCGAGATGTAGACCCTGGGGAACAGTAAGTTTACTCCATGTTCTTTTATATGCCAAGTATACTTTACTGGTTAAATCTCAAGAGGAGGTTCCTCTAAGTTGTCATCATGTATACATGCGTACATGTATTTATATTCACTTAGACACATAAGTATTATTCAGGAACTTTATAATGATTTGCTCTTAAAATACAACTATGTGTATATATAACACAGTTCACAGGATTTATTTTATGTATCTTATATAAATAGTTAATATTTATGTAAATTGTAAATATTACGAAAATATGTAATATGTAAATTAAATAAATATTTTATGTATTTTATGTAAATCTGCCATATGGAATAGACGAAAAATCTTATTAACTGTAGATTAACTTAAATCTTTTCTTTTATAGCTATATTATAAAAACTCTAGGAATTAAGTATTTCTCAATGTCTGAAGTGGATAGACTGGGAATTGGCAAGGTGATGGAAGAGACATTCAGCTATCTACTAGGAAGGTACGATGCTCTTGGATGTATGAGTGTAACCAAGGCTTGCTACTGACAATTCTTATCAATGTAGGTTGTTAATAAAGGTTAGGTAAAACCACGGGGTTTCCATGGGTTGTTTATAAAGCAGGAGAAGACCCTTATTTGATTATTGATTCCTAAACTGTGACTCTAATGGAAAGCCTTTCCTATTTCTTAAAAGAAAGAAAAGGCCCATTCACCTGAGCTTTGATGTTGATGGACTGGACCCAGCGTTCACAGCGGCTACGGGCACACCTGTTTTGGGAGGCCTATCCTATAGAGAAGGTCTCTACATCACAGAAGAAATTTACAAGACAGGTAGGTAAAAAAAGGCAATGAAGAAACAGCTGTGCCCTTGGCCAGAGTGTTAGTGGGCCTCTCTGACCTGACCCAAGCCCTTTTGGTACTTCCAGGATGCCCACCATGTGATGTGATACATGTTTCCCATTGGTTCCCACCTCTTCTCCATGAGATACACTTTAGAATGAGTTGTCACAGATTTTAAAATGTCAGTTACTATAATCAATGATATCATTACCTTTTTTTTTTTTTGTAGGACTACTCTCAGGACTAGATATAATGGAAGTAAACCCAGCTCTGGCAAAGACACCGGAAGAGGCTACTCGGACAGTGAACACAGCAGTAGCATTGACCTTGTCTTGCTTTGGGACTGCTCGGGAGGGTAGTCATAAGCCAGGGGTCGACTACCTTAACCCACCTAAGTAAATGTGGATGAGACACATGAAAATCAGCTGACTCATGGGAGCAAACTGAATAGACCTAAGCAACAGTTCTCCCAAGCGCTCATTGTTGCACGATATTTTTCCCCCAGTATTTCACAAGTTCCTTTATGGTATGAAACTCAGGGTGTGGACATTTTTACAGCTATGAAATTAGAACATATGTATTCCTAATTTAAGCAGAAGTTATCCTTAAAAAGCAGTATAAATTAATTTCCCATTAAAAATGCTCCAGCATTTAAAATACACATCAGTGGGAGTGCTCGCTCACTAGACTGAGCCATAAGATAGTTGGACACAAAGGTGTCCACAGGGAGGCAGCTGTGTCCACATTGTTCAAGATGTGATTTTTGTAATAAATTCATGACAAAATTCTGTTGTCTACATCTTTACAAACACATGCAACATACTTATCCATGTACATACCAAACCACACATGTGCATACCATATCCCCCCCCACCCTTCTTAAAATCACTGTGAAGATTCCTACAAGGCATAGAAATAATCATCCCTAAAATGTAAGATTTTGAAGCCATTAAAGGTTGGTTTCTGTCTTACCTGTAAAATAGGTAATCACAGGCTTAGACGATCTCCAAGTTCATTGATATCAGGTGACCCTTTCTTTTTCTAGACAAACATAACATTGCTATTTTAAGCATAATTGTTGTGCAGGTATCTGTGAAGAAGGGACTTGCAAACATCTATGCAGGAACCAGAGAAATCACCGGTTGTTTTTGTTTTTCCAAAGGTATTAACACAATAGGAGTCCAGCTAATGTCTCATAGGCTTTGAGATCTCATCACTGCATCTGCAGCAGCCCTGGTTAGCTAAAACTCTTAAGGTTCTAAAAACTCACCTTGGCTCTGAAGTAAGCTGAGGAAAGAGGAAATAGAAAAAAAATAAAGTGTCATTTGTCAGAACAAGCGCCATATTTGCCCTCACCTAAACTTATGCAGTAACGCAGAGAACTCTGGAATGACTCCATGAAGGGATTTTTATCGCTATTTTAGCAGCGGCATATAAGCAAGGCTTGACCACCTGAGCTTTCCCAGGTACGCCTACAGATTAAGCCTAATTACCACCTATATGGCCTTTGAAGTAAAGTTTATTGAATTAATTTAGGCAATTACGGTGTACCTTCAGAGTACCTTGTACAATATAGTAGTCATATGCAGCTATTCACATTAAAGCTTCAGAAAAATTTGAGCTGGGTAGTGGTGGCACACGCCTTTAAACCCGGCACTCGGAAGGTAGAAGCAGGTGGATCTCTGTGAGTTCGAGGCCAGCCTGGTCTACAAGATCTAGTTCCAGGACAGGTTCCATAGCTACAGAGAAACCCTGTCTCAAAAAAACCAAAAAAATAATTTAAAAAAACCTTAAGAAAAATTTAAAATTTAGTTCCAAAATTTAAATGTTTACAGCCCATGCAGCTGGTAACACTGTGCCCCAGAGCAGAGGCAGTGTTTCCATCACTGGAATCCAGCTGGGACGAGCCAGTTACTCATTGAAAACAAATACCCAAACCCTTATTTTAAGATACAATAATGTAGAATTTTTCTTCCCCCAGTTATAAATCCAAAGTTTCTGTGTTCTATTAATGTCCCTAATTAACAATGTTAAAACTCCATTCAGATATTTGTTTTTTAAGCTAGACAAGGAAAATTGAATTTTTAACAAATTTACTAGCATAAATATGCCCTTGAGAAAGTGGTAAGACTACATTTCATTCTTCTATTCAATATCAAATATTTACAATAATATAATATAAATGCTAGGGTCAAAGGTTTTCATCCTAGGATCTCAAAGCAGTGATCTAGTCCCTGAGGTACAAAGAATATAACTGAGACTATGTTAAGAATAACATTTGCAATCATTCCTACTATAAAACTTCTGGAGAAGATTAAGAATATTTATTAGCCTAGAAACATTAATGATGCACTGTATGTTTTAAGATAGTCATACATGGCAGATAAAGATTTAGTGATTGCAATGACATGAACTACAAAAATAAAGGTCTAGGAGGATCATACTTCACAGTAAGAACCTGAAATGTAGCTGGATAAATTCATTGTCATATTTTTTTTGACAAAGAGTATCTCGAGATTCCCAGGTGTTAACATCTGCAGTGCAGACAGAGGGGCAGCCTAGCTCTCCAAGCAGCAGGTGCTCACATTAGGTCATTAAAGAAACTTTACAGGCACTCGAGGGCTTCAAAATGCCATCTCCCTTTAAATTAGCACCTCAAAAACCAAACAAACCTTACAGAACGAAAATGTGTTCTACATTTAAACTTGGGAAGTTATAAAATTTCAGAGAATTTGAAGAATCTTATCTGCTAGGTGAGTATGAATCTGGAAACGCAGCTAATGTATTTCAAAAACGGATTAGGAAATCAAACACTTGAGCACGGCTTTATTGAAATTTGTCCATCTCAGATGTTATTTCTTACATGGTTCCTGACTCATTTTATACAGAAAGTTCAGAGCGAATGCAAAACCTTCCTCATCTACTTTGGTAGAAACTTTACATCATTTATTTGGAAATATTTGCAAATTTTAAATTTACAATAAAATTTTACAGCCAGTTAAAAAAGAATATGAAACCCCATTTGTTCCTGTAAACAAGGCCTTTTTCGTTAATAAAAAACTCTATTGTAAAGACAGACCAAAAGACATTTACATATAAAAGGGTTTGCAATGTCCATTTTACATGTGTTGTATCTTTAAGATAATGTATATGAAATGTGAAGATGTTATAATAACTTAAAAAAATGGCTGAAACAAGAAATCCGAGTGCCTGGTAAAAGCCACTTAATTATGAAAAGTCCCATGTTCCTAGGGACTCAAATTGTTATGAATATGAACATGTAGCTTACTTAATCTCTTAGAGACAAAAATATAGACAGGGAGAAGGAAATTATAGGTGTCAAGAGATCCAGTATTTGAATCAGAATAAACCAATCTGAACATGGTGGCTGCTTCTGTCCCACCAGCACAGGGCACTGTGTTCAGATTTAGGAGGCGTGAGTCACTGTCGCAGGCAGATGTGCTCTTCTGCACCGCGGCGTCTCTGGCTTCACTGAGTTACTGGGAGAGGTGCTGGCACCTGACTAGGCTGAGGGGCTGGAGACCCGCTATTCAGGGCTTGGGGAGGCACTGCTGGCTCCATCTTGCTAATGTGTGTGATGAATCGAAGACGAAGTTTTAAAGCTGGCTTTAAATTACAGATAATCTTCTCTACCTAAGAAACAAGAATACAATTAAGAAAAAAACATTACAAATAGTCTCACATTTTCAGAAATGACTTTCATTTTCAACAGTGTATGTGTGTGGGGTGGCAGATGGGGAAATAAGGGAATGTATTGGCTCAGGGCTACCAAAATCAAGATCTCAGCACAAAGGAGATTTATTTGCCTCAGAGGGAAGGACAGGGAATAAGAGAAAAAGACAGGAGACAGAGGATGAGGGAGAGGGGAAGGGAACAAGGGAAAGGGGGGAGGGATATTTTTCCCAGAAGAACCTGTGGATAGAGGGGAGTCAGACATGGCACATAGGAAAATGGAAACCCTGTGTCAGGATGAGGTGTTTAATTTTAATTGGGCATGTTAACTAGGTGAGCCAGAGGGGACTTCTGAGTGCTGGACTCCAACACTTTGATATCTGGACCTTGGTAGTCAGCCTCAGGAGGAGGAAGTGGACAAATGAGGAAACAGACCTTAGTGGCTAGCTTTAGGGATGTAACCTAGGGGTTTTAGCAAGGCAGAAGGAATGAGAAGGGCAAGGATTGTCAGATCCATGTTTGCCACGCCTGAGCTGGCTAGAGCCCCTTCAAAAAGTTTTAAGAAAACAGATACAATTTTTTTTTTGTACACAAGTAAGCAAATGTATTCTCCTTCCCCCACATAATGTATATGTATATGTGGTGTGTATATGTCTATCTCTGTCTAAGCACACACTTCAAGAACTTTCCATCCATCTACCCGCCAGTTATCCTGCTATCAACAACTAGAATTGTTCCCACTAGAAGTTGTATACATCTGAGAACTTGGTTATCCTTCCCAAATGCTATGCTAGCAGAAGCAGGAAGAATACTTAAGAGTTTTTGGACAATTAACATTTGCAACATTTATCTCCAAAGCGATTTTCTTGACTTTATAGTTGGATTCATCATACATAGTGGATGCACTCAGAAAATATTTTGAGACGAATGTTCTTAGTTTTACTGTTCTCTGACCTCAGGAGGAAAGGTCAGGATGCCAGCAAAATGTTTCCTTTTGCTTTACTCCCTTGTCAAAGTTTAAGTCCAAACACAAAGAATACATTTTGGTTTTAAAAAGCACTCATCAGTTCTCCCATTTTTTTGTGTCTTAACAGAAGCAGACACTAAAAGAAATTCCTCCCTCCCTCCCTCCCTAGACCATTTTTTATTGCTAAAATAATGTTCTCTGATAACAGATACCTCACAAAATAAACCCAAACTAAATACTCACTGAAACAAAAATGTTTATCACCATATATTCAAATTTGATAAGTCAAACATCATTAAACAATATAAAAATTAACTTACTTGCTCTTTTACACTGTCACCAGTAAACATATACTTCATATGATAGAGGAAGTCACAGATGGGGTCCATGTAATTTAAGTGTGTGCTGCACTGGTCTACATTCAGCAGCATATCATAAAACGCCACACCAATCTACACAAAAAATAATGCAGTTTATTGAATTGACTACAATGATCAAGTAACTCAACAAAACCCAACTGGTCTCCACAGTGGCACACAGGATGGCACATGTACAAACAGGCACGGGGCATGCATCTTAGAAGCTACCACAACACCTGCATTCAGGGTGGAATCACAGTGCTACAAAATGGCCTGACAATTAGTATCTCTCTTAGAATTAAGAAATATGATCTTGCTGGGCGGAGGTGACACACACCTTTAATCCCAGCACTTGGGAGGCAGAGGCAGGCGGATCTCTGTGAGTTTGAGGCCAGCCTGGTCTACAAGAGCTAGTTCCAGGACAGGCTCCAAAGCTATAGAGAAACCTGGTCTCAAAAACCAAAACCAAAACCAAGAAAAAGAGAAAAGAATATTATCTCCTTTCTAGATACCACCTTTGAAATAAAAGCATTGCAGAGATGCTTAGGCTTTTAGGCTTCTAGTGTATCCCCCTAGTTCCATCTGACGGCTACTTCATGTGTATGCGTCACGTGCACACCTGAGCCACTGAGCTCATCTCTCCAGTCCCTGACACAGCTAGTGATTTCAAAAAGTCTCTTCTTGCTCATTTTCCTAGAAATGCTTGATTTCATCAGTCTCATGATTTTAAATGACGACACTGTAAATTCTCAAATGCACTTCTGTGCCTTTAACTTTGACTTCCTCCTTGGTGACAGCTAATGACAGCTAATTGTCCCTGCCATCTCCAGTTCAATGCATTGAACACCAAACTTCAAATAGCTACATTAAATCTCATAAAGTGGCTCCCAGGTCATATGAAACTAATTTCACTACTCATGGCTGACCTCTACGGTGAAAAAACACTTGTCCAGAAACACACCTTCAGATTTATACTAAGCCAGATGAAACTTTACCTCGATCATGCACCGGGTTCTCTCCTGTTGGAATCTTTGTAAAAATGGCCCTACAAGATGATACACATACAGCAACTGGAATTCAGTCTTCACTACAGGAAGAAGCACCTCAGTGAGAAACCTAAAGGCAAAGATAAAAATAAAAACTTCCTATGAAGTTAAATCAATTAAATTCTTTGAATTATGTTAATATACTATTTATAAAAGTATTTGAGAAGATTGAAAAGAGTATCTTTATTATATTTCTTAAAAGTTCCATTTAAACCGGGCAGTGGTGGCGCACACCTTTAATTCCAGAACTAGGGAGGCAGAAGCAGGTGGATCTCTGTGAGTTTGTGGCCAGCCTGGGCTACAGTGTGAGTTTCAGGACAGGCTCCATAGCTACTGAGAAACCCTGTCTTGAAAAACCAAACCAAACCAAACCAAACCAAAGAAAGTTCTGTTTAATTTTGGTAACAATATTGTTTCTTTTTTCGTACATGTATTGAGGGTGTGGAATGTGTATGTCTGTGGGCACACATGCCTGTGTGTGCAGAGGTCAGAGGAGGATGTCAGGGGTCGGCTATCACGCTCCTTATTCCCTGAGATGGGTCTGTCACTGAAGCTGGAGCTGGGCTGGCTTCCAGCAATCCTGTTTCCACTACTCCCCAGCACTGGGTTGCAGGCATATACACGGCCATGTCTGGCTCTGTGTGTGTGTGTGTGTGTGTGTGTGTTTGTGTGCGCGCGCGCGCGTGCGCTCTGGGGATGTGAACTCGGGTCTTCGTGTCTGCACAGCACACACTCTTACAGTCTGAACCATCTCCTAACCTGGTAACAATAATACTTCCAGTTAATCTTGCATATCTCACGGGCTTTTATTTCCTACTGATTGATCACTGAAAGAAATCACTTCAGATTTAAAAGTAATTCTTAAAGTACAGGTATTAAATGACAGGTGAATTATCTAAAAGGTAAAGAGAATTTATGAAGACGCCATTCTCATGAAATTTAGATCTAGTTGACAGCATTTTACAGTCAGCAAAGAAAATCTGAAAATAGATTGAGGCCAGTTTTTCAGTTCCCAGGGCAACTTTTGTGATGCACTCTGGGAAAGGCATAGATCTGACTAAGCCTCTTGAAACCACCATGGAAGATGAGAAAGCAGATGTTCCTACTCACACACAGAAGAAATTCGAACAAGTAACTCTGAAATTGATTAACCAGGGCCTCCAATGTCTGAAATACTCTTACTCTGTAGTACTTAAGAATGAGAAACACACTCCATATGTAATTCAGACTTAAGAAGAAGTTGACACATTGTTTTAAGAAATTTCAGCTCTTACTTTGGGATGAGTGAGAGCTGCCCAATGCTGGAATGGTGCCACACAGCGTGTGCGAGCGCTAAGGTGTAGCTGCAGCTCATCTCGGAGTAGGACTGATGGCAAGCGGTGAAGTCGAAGAGGCGGAACGGATAGCCAACCCACTCTGTCTCTGACGTCAGGCTAGGGCTGCTGATGACGCTCACAATTCGGTCATGAAGGACAATCCAGTACGGCTCCTTTAAAAGCAGAGGGAAGTCTGGTTGAAAAAAAAATAAAAAGAAACAACAAACCACAAATCCAGCATTGACCTTGAAGCTCACATGCTACTACACTTTCACACCCACTGTAGTTCCTCTGGCTTGTGTCTGTGAATGGATATTCTGAAACAGAACTGAGTGCTTTTGCACTGATTAGCCTGACCTGAGAACAAGGTTGATTTGCACCTTCCAAGCATGATACTTAGTGCTTGCTATTTACCATGCAGTAAAATGACTTTACCAATATTTACTATACAGACAAGTCTGTTATATATGTACAAAAAGAAACAAACACTGGTATTATGTTTTGAAAGTATGTAAACAAAACAGGGATTCACAGAGCTACCCAAAAGTAGAGAGCACGATGCTCATCAACATTGTTTATAGCTCAAGGACAATGAGGAGGTGGAGAAGGAGACTTTGCCTGCCTAGAGAAGCTAGCAGATGGTGGAAGGGGAAGAACGCTGGCACAATGTCCTATTTACTAACATACTAGACTCAAAACACTTCTCAGTGAGCACGGAGTGCAGGAGGTATGGCTGGATGCATAACATGTTATTTGGCTAAGAGTAGATCAGAGTCTGAGCTAGAAATGAAGGTTGGGTAGGTGAGTTGGCAGAGATCGCTAAGTCTAGTAGATACATGTAGAACTGAAATAGAACAACAGAAGAACAGCAATGGGGATTGTAACTGTGTTCATGTGTTGAGATAGGGTCTCAGGTAGCCCAGGTTAGCCTCAAAATGATGCTGTAGCTGAGGACAACTTGGAAACTTCAATCTTCCTGCCTCTACCTCCCAAGTGCTAGGATTATGAGTGTGTGCCACCACACCAAGTTTATGTGCTGCTGGTTCTCAGACCCAGGGCTTCATGCATGTGAGGCAGGCACTCTACCAGCGAGTTACAAATCCAGCTCATAAATGGTATAAAAGAATGGAGAATTAAACACTATTAACTCGCATGACATCCCAGTGCAGGCCCACTCTGTACACATCTGTTTGTTCGGGTCAACAGAGAAGAGGGAGTTACACTCCATCACTGGGTACAAACCGCAGCTAGGAACTCACTGGGAGGGCAGTGATGATCAAACCAATTGCATTCATCCAAGCTGTGATGCTCTCTCTTGGCACCAAGGGCTGGCTGCAAGCAGACAGAAAAAAATGTAAAATAATTAAAACATTTTATATGATTGACCAAGGATCTTGCTTTGAAAACAAATGTGATTAGGAAGATTCTCAACTGATCAACTCCAAACAACAATGGACATCTCACTGAAAAAAAATTAATACATACAAAACAAGTCCTTTTTGTGTGTGCATGTCCTTTAACACTAGTTGTCGGGTTGAAAGACTATTTGAACTTATTCCTACTTTCATCCAATCATTATTCCCTACTTTTTCTAAACCTTTTAAGAAGACCTTTTTCTGGGGTGGGGTGGGGTGGGGTGGGGGCTGGGGAGGTAGCTGGAGACTTAACCCACTGTCTAGCACTTGATAGCACTTGCTCTAACATGCTACAGCCCTGCTCCTGGTGGTCTGTAGAGACCTTAGGCACAAGTTAACGTCACTCTAAATGGATTATCAAGGAGGTGATAAGAGGCATCAATGTGAACCAACCTGCTCTTCTGAATCTGAGCAGTATTCATTCTCTTACATCTACACCACGGAGATGGGGCTGGGAACCAAAGATGGATGTTTTACAGTGCTCCACTTGGGGCACAGGTTTGTCTGACAGTAACAGTTTCAGAAATAAACAGACTCTTACACATGAAAAAGGACACAGACCTTTTCAGGACGACATTGAGAAGGGCATTCCCAACATCTTTGCCTGGAACTGCCAAGGCCATGAGTTCCACACAAGTGACATGCAGAGCATGGGCAGCAGGATTGGGGAACTCATTGAATCTCCAGTCACAGTTGGGGAAGGGTCCAGGAGACTTGCCAGCCATGGGTGCAATGATTAAGGCAAAAACAATTTGACTATTCCAAGATTAATGACACACTTATATAATGTTTATGGATCCCATGTTTTAAATGCAAGCATCTCATTTGATTATCAATTATCTGATTATGAGCTGTCAAGAGGTGACTTAACTGCAATTAACATATAAACAGGTAAACACAAAGTAAACAAGGTAAGTCTGACAGGACTGAAGCACACTGAGCAGTACCCACGAAATACAAGGAGTTCCTCTTACAGGTGGCTCCTAACACAGACAATACACCAGCAGAAGACAGGATCGGGGGTGCCTAGGCCTTTTCAGCCTATTTCCATTACAGCTATAGGGTAAGTTCACATGAAAATTACTTTTAAATGTGTAATTCTTTTACCTTAGGAAATATATTCCCCTGTTTAAGAAAACAACACTGATAAGGCACACAGACACGTTATGTAGACTTGCCGATAACTGGACACAAGAAATCAAACTGAAGAAATAAAAACATCAACACAACAGCTCTTTAGTTCATAATACTGTCTATTAATAGCACTATGCTTTGAAAGTACTCAAGGATATAATTGTATTTAATTCATTAATTAAGGTAAGGTCTTGATATGTAGCCCAGGCTGGTCTTGAATTTTTAGAAATCTTCCTGCCTCTGCCTCTCAAGTGCTAGAATTAGGGGTAGTGCCACTATACCTGGTTCTAAAGGATTCTTTTAAAGCAACCAGACTAATGCTCTCCAGGAGCACACAGACACCTGTGCTGTGGAATAATCTTTTTGTAGAATATGAGTATTATTATTCCCATTGGCTAATAAAAAGCTGATATGCCAATAGCTAGGCAGGATTTTGGGGGTAGAGGAATGCTGGGAAGAAAGGCGGAGGCAACAAGGGGAGTTTATAGATGAGGTAAAGGAGCTTCAAGGTGGCGCACAGATTAATAGAAATGGGTGAATTTAAGTTGTAATGGCTGCTGGAGACAAGTCTAAGCTATCAACTGAGCATTTATGGTTAATAAGTCTGTGTGGTTATCTGGGAGTGACTGTTGACACAGAAAATCTCTAGTTACACACCTGCATCGTAAGACAAAGTGTAAGACTTCTTACTTAAAAACAACTGTCTGTAAAGTCTGTTCTTAAGTTTGAGTAGCAACAGAGAAAATTCCCACCTATCTAGTAAGATGATGCAATTTAAGACTTCAAATTTTTTTTACAGAGATAACATCACCACCAGCACTTGGGAGGCAGATTTCTGAGTCCAAGGCCAGCCTAGCCCACACAGCAAGTTTCAGGCCAGTGGTGACTTCATAGTTAGACTCTGTCTAAAAACACACACACACACACACACACACACACGTACACAGACCAGAAGAACTACAGAAATGCAGTGATGCACACTGAAGTCTGAGTTCCTGGAGGAGCTGAGGTAGGAAGACTGCTCGAGGCAAGGAGTTTGAGGTAGGCCTAAGTAACAGAGAGGCTCTATTTCAAAGAAAAAAAAAATTAAAATGAGGTTTTGAAATACATAAAAACATTATAGTTCTCACAGCTAAAACACTGTGATTTCTAAAAAACCCAAAGAAACATGACAGAAGAAAGGATATTGTCTACCAGTCGGCCAATCAGCTTGCAATAGTAGGAGTCCTCTGGAACCCAAGGATTGTCCTCCCGTGCATTCATAGCATGCTTCAGGTAAGTATCACTGAGACACCAGCCCTGTGGCCGGTTATCTTTGAGGGAGCCAATGATTGCATGGACAAGTTTTCGCTTGAGATGGTCACGGTTTCTCAGGCACATTTCATAATAGTGCAAAGTATTATACAGATAAGTCACTGGTCGGTCTGCCAAGAAGAAAACAGGTCACCATGCTTATCAGATTATTGACAAGTGTAAAAAGTAAACTGTGTGCTTTTAAGACTACAGAAAAACAACTGAGAAGATTGTGACATTACTTCACATGCTGGAAAACTGCATACAATGAGAACTTTAATTCCAAGTCAATCAGAAGATTCCTAACAATATACACAGTATTTAAGGATGGTCATTATTCTGAGTGAACAATTTCACCTCTGTAAATTTATTGTGCAAAAATAACAGAAAGCAAATGTCAGCTGTGGTTGTGTTCCCACTTGCAAAAGGTTAGCAACTGTTAAAACGGTCAGAATCAAAGGACTGGGAAGTGATCACAGCAAGTCAGGCCTTTAGGTACTGACATTAGGAGTCAGCCTTAAGGCAGGAACTGGAGAAGACCTGGGACAGAGCACTGCACTGTATTTGTAACAAGACAACAAAAAAGACAAAGAGCCAGGAACCAGCACAGCATCTAAGGAAGGCGCCTAAGCAATGGCAACCGCTCGCTCAGAGACTAGAGCCCGCTATGGAGTCACGGATTTCCACATCCAAAGACAGCTGCTTTTTAAAAGTGGATACTTTTACATTTCTTTGAACCCGACAGTTCTGTAGTTATACACTCTTGCTTTCGGGGAAGACATGAAGATCTAGGACTAACAGCTGCCCCTGAGCACCTTTTCTCTACATTTGTACCATGGACCACATCATGCTCCAGTTTCCAGTCTTAAGGCCAGAGTTTCAACGACTCCTGAGCAAGCACCAGCCAAGTCAATTGTGTTCCTGGCTCTTTATGTGTCATTTGCAGCCCACGGCTTTCTGAAAGGCTAATATCCATTAGTACTTTGAGGCAGCTTTGAAAGCGTATCCTCCTTCTGAGAGACGCTGTGCATCACCCCTGACCTCAGCTTTTCTAAAACTGCTTCCCATGCTCCCATCTTACTCAGTGACTTCTACTTGGCCACCATCTTCAGGTTATTTGTTGTGGGAGTAACTTCCGCTGCCTCAACCAATAGTCGCTGAAATACGAGCCCACAGTGCAGCGGGGAGCGATTTCCGCTCCGTCAGCCAATAGCTGCTGAAATACCAGCCCACTGGGGCGTGGTATATTTCTCTTTTAAAAGAGAAGCATATCCGGAATAGGCTCTCTTGGTTCCGGCTCTTGGTTCCAGTGCTCGGTCTCGGCTGCTGCTCCCAGCTCCTGCTCCAGCGACTAGGCTCCCTTCCTGATGGTTTATGGTGTATGTAAGTTTTACCCCCCGCCAAATAAATAACCCCTTAAAACATAACTGGTGTGGGATTGATTCGTTAATAGTTATTAAATTCAGAATGGCATTTAATGTGATCATGCAGTCAAGTATACTTTCTTTTTCCACCTTATTTTGAAATTCCTAAATAAATATTCTTAATTCAGTCCAATGAAGCAATTTTTCTTCAAATATGCCCTTTTGTTCTATCACCAGGATCCCCCTCCCAAAAAATCCCTTATGACTCATATGTTCTTTTCATCTCTCCTGCTTATATAATCATTCACATCAGAAGTTCAAACTGTAACTCAGAAGCCTACGAAGACACATTTCATTTACAGTAAACCACCCTCTCCGAACTCGCACTCTTCCGCTGCACATCCACGGTATCTCAAGGACGTCATCTCACAGCGCTTCAGAACCCGCAAAACCACTGTCACCACGGGGCAGTGCCCAGCCTATCTGCTCATAAAGGTATCAGATGAAATTAAAACATGAATGAACTCACCATGGAACTTATATAAGCCCCCTAGGTGATCCAGGAGGGTCTCCAGTGATTTGGACACTGGAAGCAATTCTAAAAATCTGTGGATTACTATATCAAATACCGGAAGGAACCGGAGGCACACATTTCCAAAGTAGATAGGCAGATAGGCGGACTGGATTGGTACAGGAGGGTCAACCTGCTCTGCCAGGCCTTCGAAATACAGTTTCTCTGGGTATTTCTGTGGGTGAGGAAACAGACATTCACAGTATCTTGGAAAAGTTTGCTTAAAGAGTTACAGAAAAACTAAAAATATTTATCTTTTTATTTTCTTTATCAAGACAGAGCTTCTCTGTGTAGCTTTGGAGCCTGTCCTGGATCTTGCTCTGTAGACCAGGCTGGTCTCAAACTCAGAGATCCTCCTGCCTCTGCCTCCCAAGTGCTAAGATTAAAGGTGTGTGTTACCACCATCTGGCTATAGTTATTGATTTTTTAAAAAATAAATGCAGCAATTTTTGATTTTTTTTTGAAGTGCTAGGAACTGGCATGTGCTAAGAACATGCTCCTCAAATCAGTAATATCCCAGCTTCCCCAAGAGACACACTATATTAATTTTACTATAGCTTTCTTCATTTTATACAGAACCATGCCTGTTAAAAGTGCAGTTACAATTTGTTCCTATTCATTAACGTAACTTTACAACTAATTTGTTTCCATACTGACCATAAAGAAAGAATGGAATTCCAAGAAATCTGCCTACTGAGCAGCCAACCCTCCCAGCTGCTCTGCAGAGCCGCAGCGCGGGAGCCAGTACCTTGTGGTAGTTCATGTGCTTGGTGTGCCAGTCATTCTGCAGCCAGTGCTCGGGGGAGTTTTCCTTCACAAAATCACTCACTCGGTTTCGGAAGTCATTTGGTTTGAGCAGCAGCAGCTGAATTATGAAATAACAGACCTGGGCTTCATTTCCTTCATGACTACGCATGGCCTTGGGAAATAAAGAGAAAAATGAAGTAAAATTGTCCTATCTGTCCAAAGATATGGTTCTGCCATCTAGTAGGCTAAATTTTAAGACAGTAAATCTCAGCATTTCTTGGAATTTTCTTCAATGTTAGTCTACCCCAAACCAAGTCTTCAGTAACCCTAAAGATGACCTGACCCTTTCTGGCCTGTTTGTGGTTCACTCTGCCTTTGCTAGGAATATGAACCTGAAAGTAAATCTTTCCTTGACAATGTGTCACTGAGGGTAATGTGATGCCATTGTTTTCAGACAGTATTTTCCCTCTGTCATACCTTAGAACCCCTACTACATGACAACTACCTTCATATCTATGATCCATAGGAAGAAGTCGAAGCCAATGAACTAAGCCGCTGCATATTACCACCATGCCCTGGCTGGCCTTGTGCTCGCACTGTGGACCAGCCTGGCCATGAACTTATAACAACCCCCCTGCATCTGTTGGTATTATAGGCATGTGCCAATGTACCCAGCCACTACTATATTTTTTAAAAGTGTATAATTTTCCAGTCTAATTCAGTCTTTTCTTAAAATTTTGCTTGAAGGGCTCAGAGGTTTGGAGCACTGGCTGCTCTTCCAGACGATGTGGGTTCAATTCCCAGAACCTACATGGCTCCGAGGATCTGATACCCTCTGCTGGCCTCCATGGGCATTGCACACATGGTTCCCAAGAACAAAGGCAGGCAAAACATTCATACACATAAAAAAATAAAAATAAACCTTAAAAGAAAAAAAAACTTTGCTTGAAATATACTAACAGGCAGAAGTAAAAGGTGCATTTGGAGGGTGCTGGGTATAAAGGAGAAAGAGAATTCTGGCTATTGAAGTTACATTAGCTATTACGTTACAAAGAAATACAATAGCTCTTTACTATTTCCTGACCCCAGTAGGGGCCTCTGAGAATCAACCATCTATATTTCAAGGCATCACAAGGCTAGAAAAATCTATTTTATTCACTGTACCTTTGTCAATATAATACTAAATATTGAATATATATTGAGTGAAAAAATTCATTAATTTCTTTTTCTTTAAGGAAGCATGAATGTAGCATAAATTCACTAAATTTTTTGACACCAAATAGAGGAAATCAGCCCGAACTCTCCTATTTACACAGTTTGATCAAAGGATAAGAAGGCTTAGAAACTCATTTATTCTTACCAGGCAGAGAATTAATCTGTCCAATGTAACAATGTTATACTTCCACACCATGTCATTAAGAATTTCAATGCACTTATTGAGCTGCTGACCTCCTGCTGATGTAGAGAACTCATACACCAAGAAATCTGCAAATGTTCTCACATGGGCTACCAGGGCCCTGGCCCCAATTCTCTCTAATACTCTACAAGACAAAGAGTGAGGATTAAACTCTCTCCTTATATGGAGAGTGCAGTTTGTCAAACAGACTGTAGCCTAGGCTTGCAGCTTACCTATAGCCAATCTGGCTTATGTGATCTGTTTCCAGCAGCATCTTCCAGAGCAGGCAGAGGAACAGAGGAGGAAAGCCTTGCACAGAGAACTGGGTAATAATTTCATTTTCATCAGTCATTGACTTCCACTTTCTATATTCTTCTTCCACATTTTTTTTCAGGTTAAAACGACTTTCCTGGGGTACATTATTTTGCTTGAAGAATGCCTAAGAGAAAGAGCAGAAGTTTATGTCACTGGATATAGTAAAAGGAACAGTGGATATCTGGAGGTAAGAAGCCTGCTCTGCATTTGGTTCTGGTATTATAAACTGAATCACCCCTGAATAAGTTGATAATAACGGCCTGGATGTCTACACTAGGAAATGTGCAGGCCAGCTTACGGGCAACTCAAAGTTTCTTTTTCTGTACTTCCTAAGCAGAAATTCCAAGCAAGCTTGAACTCAAAGTCTCTTCAATCATATTTTGCTAATCTTTGAGAGAAGGGAGAGAAAAAGAAATGTGTCTCCTTTTCGGGCTATCCACTTCAGTGTGTCTATAGGGAAAATCGATTATAATAGCCCAGTGGTTCTGACTTTGGTCTCCAGACCAGCAGTCCCAGTCAGTCCTCAGGCCTCGCCTGATCTACTCAGCCAGAAGATCTAAGGCTGCGACCCAGAAGTCTGCAGCTTGGGAAGCTTTGCGAAGCAATCTGATATGTGAAAGCCACCACCACAGCTTCACTAGAAGTCATGGAAAACCCACTGTCCACCATGCCATGAGCTTTCTCTGAGACACACAGGTACTCGAGGTTTGCCTTTCTCTTTATTATGAAGCTACAGCTATAATTTTGTTGTATGGTTTAAAAAAAAAAGACCCAACAGAGTCAATTTTATTATCTATCTATATACTTTATGAAGTTTCGTTAAAGTATATTTTCCTCTATTTTAGTGATAGGAAAGAATTTTTCTGGTCATATGTTAACTTTTGTGAGATTCTAAAACTGTTCATTTTAAAAAATGAAACCATAATAATTACATTTTCAGAAACACATTTAGTCTTCAGTAGGATTAGAAACAACTTAAGAGATTTTGGAAGAAAAAGTAATTATTTTCGAAAAGGAAATAAAAGTCAAGTATCTTTAGCTGTCACCAAGACTTAACTCCCTAGAAGAAGCCACTGTGATTGAAGAAAGATTCAGTGTGTATTTAATATGTAATTCAGAAGCAAATTACCTGCAGAGGGGCTGGGAAACAGCTAAGAGTGTGTGAAGCCCAATTATGAGGAGTAAAATTCATGATGGTCTGAAGAATATCTTTACACCAAGTTCCCTGGATTGAATCCGATCCTGTAAAAAAATCTAAACCAACAGATGTGAGTCAGATCTCTATGACCACAAATACAAAATGCCAAAGAAAGTAAAAGCAATTGTGCATACTGAGGGGGTTTCAGTGCAGTACAGTCATTATTATTCATCTGTATTTAACTCAGGACCTGAAGTTTCTTACTCTGAAAATGACTAGGACTGACTTAGATTGTTTATTAAAGAATATGAGCACAGCACATAGTGAAGAGACAACAAAGGACATCTGGTGTGGGAGGTCCTTCTGTTTATGTGTTGCTTTTATTGTTAATAAAAACAGAAACTGCTTTGGGTCTATAGCAGAGCTATAGGGGAATAGAGCTAGGAGGGGAAAACTAAACAGAATACTGGGAGGAAGAAGGCAGAGTCAGAAAGAAGCCATGGAGCTGCGGCCAGAGTCAGACATGCTGAAACTTTACCAGTAAGCCACTGCTATGTGGTGATACACAGATTAATGGAGATGGGTTAAATTAATATTTAAGAGTTAGCCAAATAAGAAGCTAGAGCTAATGAGACAAGCAATGATTTAAATAATACAGTTTGTGTGTGATTATTTCGGGTCTAAGCTAGCCGGGCGGCCGGGAACCAACAAGCAACCCTGCCTCTTCTCCAACAGACATCTGGTTCTTTTGTACTTTTAATATGGTCTTTACTGGGCCAAGAGAATGAAATGTCGATGTCTGGATTTGGTGACTGAGAACAGCTAAATGCTCTGTCTGCCACAAGTATAAATCTCTAAATTAGAGATGTCTACTTCACAAAATAACAGTTTAGAAAAGGGTAACTGAAAATGATGAATTTTGTGTCTCTCGTTTTTAAACAATAGCTCTCAAAGTGGTCTGCTGATCAGCAGTTGCCAGTGTCTGTCCTTCCTTCCATCCTTCCTTTGTTGAGACAGGGCCTTGAAATAAAGTCTACGTTGACCTCAACTTTGCAATCCTCCAAGCTAGGATCACAGGTCTATGCTACTACTATACCTGGTCCTGTTGTCCTGTCAAGAATTGGAGGTATTTGAAGCTACTGAAATAACAATACTGAGATAGCCTTAGCATTTTCTAAGAGGTGTGGTGGTGAGATGCCTGGCTCACTGAACAACTCAACTGTGTTTGTAGACTCCTGACTTCAACAAGGACATAGGTGCCAGTCTTGGTTAAGATGACTTGTTAATGCACTATAAGTTACAAATATTAAAGTTATCAGAAAGGATTCTGAATGTTTTTATCACAAAGAACAAGCGTTCCAAAGTGCAGGGAGTTGGAAGGGAAAGTGCTCACATGACTGAGTCCTGGGGTACAATAGTGCCTTTTTTATTAGAATTTCAACTTTAGGTAAAGAGCTTCTGACAAATGCCCATAATTATGGATAGATAAACATTTAGCAGAAACGTCCTTGAAAATTATCAGCCAGCCTGCTGCTTTAAGAGTAACAAGTGATAGATCTTCCAGGAATGACAAAGCTGCTGTTCAGGTGAAAATTAGAAACTGGAAAAACTCATCTCCAACAGGAGTCTGACTGTTTTCGAAGGTGTTAGGATTTTCTTATGAAATTTATATGATACCAACAAATACAATTTTATGAAACTATAACGAGATGTGTTGACATTTGCAAGAACTATTTAACTCAGGGAATAGTTTCCAAAAGGCCAACTCATAAAGGTTCACTGCACACGTACATTAAACGTGTATTCAGTGTGAGAAACAGGTTGGAGGATCATGGCGTAGTCATGTACGCAAAGCCCACTGACAGGGTTGGGGTTTCACACTGTGCCTCATCTTTAAATAAGTTCCCAAGTCTAAACAAAGGGTACACACGATTATCTGAAAAGTCAGCTAAGAAATCCCTTTCTCCCTAATCTCATGTCAGTGAGAGGCCATACTGTCTTCATTTAACCAAAGCAGCATTACCATACTATAGCAGATAAATACTACCAGATGCAGACTGGATAAGACACCTATGCTCCTTTACACCAGGCACTGAACGGCAATGAAAAAGAAAACAAAAGCACCTCTTTTCATTAAAGTTTTGTTGTATAAAATACCTTTTCTCATAAATGTTACTTTGCTGCGGGAGCTCCTTCGCTGCTGAGAGATCATGCCCCAATGGACTGGTAACTCAGCGGCGATTGGCTGAAGAAGCGGAAGAAGCTCCCGCAGCATTACTTGTGCTAATATCACATGCTACATTATTTTTAAATGATTATTATTTTTAAAATCTTCCCATTTTAATTACTAATATACTTTATCTATGTATAGACAGAAATCCATAAAAAGAAAATCTTTGGTAATTCCAAATGTTTTTAAAGCAGTTATGAAACAAAAACCTGTAGTCAGAATGATGGTGCCATGAGCTCCCATTAGAAACTGGCCTTTTGGAGATCAGTGGCGCCTCCTGGGTACACTCTCCCACTGTGGTCTGAGAGGAACAGAGTTTCTTCTGGTAATGGGGCTCACGTGGTTTCTACCTGTGACGTGGGTTGCTCTGGCTAAGGTCAGGATTAGGGCTCGGTTCAGTTCTTCAGATTCTGCCGACAGCACCGTTTTGGGATCACTGAGGAAACGCGTGAACTGCGGCTGGACCTCTGAGCTTCCTAGCGCCGTGATGAGCCTCAGCGCTGTGCTCTCCACACTGGAAGCAGGATGAATGCACAGCTCAGATTTATGCAGTTAGGTCCAACTGCAGCATTATTAAAATCTAAGAACACAGAGATGGGACATTTCCTTTCTTTGATATAAAAAAACCTCCCTTTTAGATGCTAAATTTTACAATAAGAAGCAGCTGACCTCTTTACACATTTGATAAAAAAGAGCTTATAGGTTAAATGCAAACCCTCTTAGTCAAACAGCATGTTAGTAACTACATTTTTACTAGGACACACCCGCAAGGTCAGCATTTAGAAGGCAGAGGCAAGAGGATCAGGAATTTAAACTTTGCCTTGGCTACAAAAATGAATTCAAAGTCAGCTTACGCTACATAAGATTCTGTGTCACCTCCATTAAATTACAGATTTCCACCTGAAATACATTTTCATTTAAATCAAAATTAAAATGACACTTTGACTATGACTTGAAGCATATTTAAATCCAATTTCTATTAAAAACTTGGATTCCACTACTGTGCTATAACTATAGTATCTTAGAAACAGAATTTTAATTTTATGGCAAATAAGAAAAAAGGCGAAGGACTAAGCCCCCCACTTCAAAGCCCAGGAGTACTAGCTCCATGGAAGGGCGGTCTGCAGTGCTCACCACAGATGGAGCTGGTTCTGGTTGGTCTGGGCAACTGCAGCCAGCGTGTGAAGATGGCTCAGGAGCTGAACTCTGTAATGTGGCTGGATGTGGTGCATGCGATAGCTGAACATCTCCAGAAGCGTGTGCAGAATGCCCCAGGCGTTGGACTTGAAGACAGTAGGTAAGAGTTGACCTAGAAGAGCAAGAATTCCAGGCATCAGTTACTAAAAAAGACATACCTGAATATATTTAAAGAATGTCACACTCAGGTTATATGCAAAAATATGACTACAAAAACACATACACACAAGTACATACATAGTTCTATTTGTAGGGGTAAAAATTCAGAGCCTAAATACAAATCTGTAGCTACAAAATTCTCCATTTTGCTGGTTCCCCTGGACTGATTTCTCTCCACCCACCGAATCCCACTCACTATCTCCTACAGCCACTTATGAAATAACCAATCTAAGGTTTAATATTAATTATATACTCTTTGGCTTATTAGCTCAGGCTCCTTATTAACTAACTCTTACATCTTAAATGAACCCATTTCTATTATTTTGTATTTTACCACACGGCTTGTGGTTTGCTACCTCTTGCTTCTTGGGCAGCTACATGGCTTCTGCCTGACTCTGCCTTCTTTGTCCCCGCATTCAGTTTAGTTTTCCTGCCGGCCCTGCCATAGGACAAAGCAGCTTCTTTATTAACCAATGGTAACAAAACATATTCATAGCATACAGAGGGGAATCCCACCCCACACACTGAATTTATCTTTCCTTTCTAGAGTTTGACAAGTCAGCCTCAAGTTATTATGGAAAAATAAAACGAAAGCAACCACACACAAAAAAACAAACAAACAAAAACATTAAAGTCTATCAAATTTCTAACTTGCCTCACTTCTCAGTTATCTTTTACAATATTTTTATAGAGTTAAGGTTTTCAACCTTTTGAGTGTGAGATTCATTCCTCTCTCTTTTTATAGTGCTGGCAATTAAACCCAAGGGGGCTCCATGACCTAGGCTGGCAATGAACTCTTACACTCATGTAATTTTCCTGCTCACCCTCCTCACCGAGATTACCACTGCAACTATCACAACAAAAATAGTCACTTTTATTTTTTTTGAGACTGTTTCTCTGTGTACCTCTGGCTGTTCTCACTATGTAGACCAGGCTGACCTTGAACCCAGAAATTAGCCTGCTTCTGCCTACCAAGTGCTAGAATTAAAGGTGTATGCATCACCACTACTAAGCCAGATTTAATTTTTAATTTAAAAAAAGGGCTAGGCTTGGTGGCACTCACCTGCAATTCCCACACTTGGGAGGTAGAGGCAAGAATCACAAGTCCAGAGCCAGGCTCACCTACATAAAAAGTGAGAGGCTAACCTCGACTGTACTAAAAAAGGCCAAAAGACTAGACCAAAACAAAAAAGCTATCATCTTTCCTTGCTTATTCTTGCTTCCATCCAAAGAAAATTGGATTCACTTCTGAGGAAAAGCAGTTAGTACGGTTAGAATCCATACTTCTGGGGACGAACCACAAAACTGTGCAGTTAGAAAGCACCTATTATTTACAATTGCTAATATTAACACTGTCTTCTGTTCCTACTGCCAGACTCCGCACTCACTTCACTCACCCAGCACTGCGGCCTCTAGGAATTCATTTACATGGCAGAGGCCCCTGTCCTGCTTAGGGCATCTAAGCACCTAGCACATTACCATTTTCCTGCCATGCTACTTCCAAACAAGCTTCCATCCCGACAGACATACGGAGCTCGCCTGCTGGCGCTCATCATCCGCCACAGAGCCCCTCATTCGCTTGCTTTACTCCCTGTCCCCTGCCTCAGCAGGCCGGCCTCATGTCAATGAGCTGCTCACTGCTGGATCCTCAGCACTTGAAGAGTACTCCTTGAATTAATGACTGTTTATTAATTGATTAATGAATAATCATTAGAAACAGCAGTGAAGTTTGTCTTACTGATAAATCCTTTGATGCCCAATGACTCTATTTCCATGTAGACCAGTAAACGACTGTAAGTCTCCACCAGAGCTGGAGCTAACGCGACACTGGATTTTGCATGAGCAAGTTTTATCACTCTAGTTGCAATGCTGTGTATAAGGCTGAGGAGAAAAAAGAGCAAAATGAAAAATTATGTCTATATAAACACAGGAGGTAGTCTACTCAGCAGCAACTTAAAAGTAAACTTATAAACTTAAACATCTGAAATGAAATGGTCCCAATGGACTCGGCTCGCTGGGTATGTTCAAGCTGTAGGGCACTCGGTAGTGATGGCCTGAACTACATGGTAGGAATGTAACGGTGGAAATGAACTGTAGGGCCGGGGGTGCAGCAGTTTCAACACTCAGTGAAGAGCAGCGTCTCTGAACACGACATAAGCGCATGCTTGAGAGCTGCTAGCCCGTTTTCCTCTCAAATAGGTAACTAGATGTTGTGAGGAGTAAGAAAACCTTAATCGCAAAATGACTTAACAAACTATTGCTAAGATCCAAGTGCTTGGTTCGGACAGGGCTATGCTCAAATTTGTCACATATGCAAGTACAGTAACATATGGTCTAAAATGTTTATCATTTCAGAGAAAAAAGCAAGGCTTTTGTAGAGCTGACATGCAGACATGTTTCTCTGGCCTATATAGTGTTGTCTTAGGTTTGCACCAATACTTAAAAATTGAGAAAACAGAAATTTCTGGACTGAAAACCTAGATATGGCAGCGCCCTGGTACCCACGCTAGCTAAACTGCCAGCTCTAGTGAAGCCCACAGCTGTCATGCTCGCCCCCACACACTCCTGCGTCTACATGCACTAAAACCTGCTTCTCACCACGCTGTGCCGGGCTTCACTACAGTCCCAGGCTGCTCTGGGCACTTGAGCTCTAGTGCCAACAGAACTTTGTTTCTAGAAAACAAACACAACTCTCAAAGTGTCCAATAACTCAGTAAGGTAAAAGCCTAACATTTTAAATTCCAGGACTCAGCAAGTCTCCTTTCAGAAAACTGTTATATATATTATATATATATATAAAATTATATATATTATATATATAATTATATATATTATATATATGAAAAAACCAAAAACAAATGTACCTACAGATGGTACAAAGACTCTTATGAAGGTGATCTCCATCAGCTTTTCCTTGATATGAAGATACTACCAAAACCTCAATGCCCAGCAACATAGAGTGGCTGCTTACAGCCTCATAAGAAACTTGGGTTGTAGTAATCCAAGTGTTTTGGGGAAGAATCACGTGAAAAGGTGTTTATACAGGAAAAAAAACAAGATAAACAGCATATTTTTGAGAACAACACATATAATAAATTCACAAATGTAAAAGTTTTCCATGCTCATCTATTAGGAAAAGGATAAGGGCATCTACTTCATGCTCCTCTGTATAGTCTATAATTTCTGTAGTTAACAGCATTCATTTTTGTGAAGAAATGATTTCTTAAATGCATTGGCCATACACATATATGTATGCATACACACTTATAATTATATACAAAAAGTTAATACCAACCAGATTTTTTTTATCAATTCCCAGATATGGGACCAAATAAATAAAATGGACACACCTCATCTTGGCATGAACTGTCAGAGAGTCCAGGAGATTCATTGGTAGGGGGGTTATAGATGCTGAAGCCAAGCAGCTCGTCCCAGGGAGAGGTACTCTCATAATTCCATTTCCATAGATAGTTTCTACTAGTGCTCCCATAGGTAGTGTAAAGCACTCTGAATTTGTGGAGTACGCATTACACAACAGGGCAATCTTATAGTCATTCATCTGTAAACTTTTATTTCTCAGACTCTGTTGAAGGAACCTAAAATATCACATTTATTGAATAAAAAAAACACAAATAACATCCATGAAGCTAACTTGCATGTTAAAAATTTCAATCATATGCAGTTACTAATATTATCTTTATTCTACAGTTTCTGGAGTCATACAGAGTGATTTTGCATATTAAAGATTGGGTAATATTGCAGATTAAACTTCATCCTAATTTAACAATTAATGGCTATTTGTAAAGACATTATGTATAATGCACTATATTAGGCTAAGTTTCAGAGAATAAAGAAATAACTCACGAATGAATTTTCTTAACTGCTTAAAAATAACAAGTACCTTTACTATTGACTTTTTATAAGATAGAAGCCAGATGGACCATGGTACAGGCTCCTATGCAGAGATCTGGCAGTTCTGGAAAGGAAGTTCAGCCGTCCCTAACATCCCTTGACTGAAGCTCAATTCTATCTAAGCAGGGCATTTCCTCTGAGCCGTCGAGGCTTTGGAACACACATGAGGGAGCACGACAGCCACATCGGGCCACTCACCTTGCCCATCCCAGGGAGAAAGATGCCTAAGACAGATCATGCTCAAATCATGAGCCCTTGGGAAATCATGAAATATTTTCATGTTGATAAAAGAAACTTTAAGTTACTATTTTAAAGTGTAAAAACAAAAGTCAGTCTTGAATGTCAGAAAAATACTTAGTCACATAACCAGACTCAATCAGGTTGTTTTCTGATGCTGCCTTAGCCAATTTCTGCCTTCTGGGTGGTATGGGGCGATATCAATACCACATGAATAGTGAAGTCAATAATGGTCTACAAGCCATTGTTAATGAATACTGCAATCAATCTGGTCTGCAAGTCACTACTAATGAAATAAAGCTCCAAGTAAGAAACAACTTACTCATGGTGAAGCTTTAGGGAATGTGGTATTGGGATCTGAAGATTGGAATCGTCATTTTGAGCTTTTCTATTAAGATGAATCCAAATACACGTCATTGCAAAGGCATGCGTTGACTGGGGCTTGTTAATATCAGGAACTGGAATACACTGGAAAATATTAATTAGTTTGCATATGAATGAGAACTAAATGGTCACATGAATACAAATCCTTCACAGAGTAACTCTTCAAAGTTCCTGTTTTAGTTTAGCCAATAGCTCTTTGACTATTTACCATTACAATGAAATCTTACAACTGTAACATTTTTGAAAAAATGATCTAGTTGGTATGTTTCTACTTGTGAACAAAAAATAAAAGATGCTTAGCCAAGCGTTCTCTATTACAGAACTATTGAACAAAAGTCATTTAATTTTGAAAAATTAAACAAATTCCCAAATTGTAACAAGTTGAGATAAATATATAAAAGAATAAAACTTCACAATGCTTACAGCAATCCAATCCTCTTTCTGCAAAATGTACATAAACTGGATAAGTTTAATCACTCTGGTGAGTAATCAGTAAAACTTACTTCCTTTTCTGGATACAGCAGATCAAAGAGCTTCATGACAGGAAGAAAATCAGCAAGTGCATTTTTCTGAATACTTCCAGAAATGAACTGGAGCAGAACCCACATCAGATGATCTCTGCCTTTAATCAGTCCTCGCCCTGCTAACTGTAAAAAACGTTAAAGTGCAAATGCAGACACAGCCACTGAAGATGCGGAGTTAGAGCCCTGCGGCTTGCTCTTAACAGAGCACCTTGACGCTACAATCTAGATCTAGTCTATGACCCCGATGGCACACATACTCTAAAGGCCTGGCTCTCCGCTGATGGTGATCCTGAAACCAGTGGAGTGCTTAGAAGGCAGGGGCTAGTGGACGGAGGTTATGTCTAGGGAGCACACATTTGAAAGGCTATGTGGACAGTGGTCCCTTCCTCTTTCAACTGACAAAATGCCTGTAGGTAACTCTGGGATACTGTCCTGATTAATGATTGATAGGGGATGTCCTTGCCTATGAGGAGCAGCTCCCTGGGCAAATGGTCTTCACTTGTGTAAGAAAACAGGCTGAGAAAGCCATGGGAAGCAAATTGTAAGTTGCATACATCCATGACCTTAACAACAGTTTCTAGCTCCAGTTTCCTGACTATAGTCCCTTCATGGTAGACTATAAACTGTAAGATGAAATAAACCCTTTCTTTTCCAAGTTGTTTTTGGCCATGGTGTTTTATCATGGCAACAGGCACCTAACCCAACTAGGACATAAGGCACAATTACTGTAATAAAGCTGCTCATAAGTGTATATATATGTATACACATATACATACATACATAAATATACACATAAATACATATACATTTATGTGTGCATATACGTTCCCCTCTATCGTAGAACTCTTTGGTGGTACTACACTCTTTTCATTTTGTGTCATGTTGTCCTGGCAATGTGACTGTGTAGAATGAACAAGAAATCAGTTTTTATAGTTAGAAAGAAACCATAAAAGTTCCAAGAAGAAACTAGGGAAGCCTTTTATCCCAGCACTTGGGAGTCAAAGGCAGGTAGATCTCTGAGTTTCAGGCCAATCTGGTCTACGTAGTGAGATCCAGACCAGTAAGGCAACATGTGAGACCCTGCCTTTAAGAAAGAAAGAAAGAAAGAAAGAAAGAAAGAAAGAAAGAAAGAAAGAAAGAAAGA